AGTAGGTGGTCACATAATGCAGGGTGTTTGGTTCTGTTTAAATTATTATCTTCCATTCTGTTCTGTTCTACTCTGTTCCATTGTATTGCATTGTATTCTATAGTTTCTCAGCATTGAAAAAATATTTTAAACTCTAGCTGCAATCCATTATCTCACCAATTCATTTATCAGTGTTAATCAGTGAGAATAGAGATGTACACTACATTTCTGGTTTCATATAGTTTCCTGTTGGCAGTGGGCCAGATATAGACTTTACAATATCACATGTAGATAATTTTAGCAACAGTGGTGTTATGTTTCCAGCGCTTCCATTTAGCACTGTCAACATTCAACAGTGAAAGAGCAGCGAAGGGGAAAAGTGTTTCTTTCTTGTTTTTCAGTTGATTAAAGATGGGAGTATAAATGCCCACTGAATATCCATGATCAAAACAACTTTACAGTGTATGCATAGATCCTGTAGATGGCTGAATGCAACAAGTTCATGCTGGGAAACAATGAAAGGCAAATAGTTGTAGATTGATTAACGTAGACTGAGGGGAGATTGCAGATTTTCATCACAACATGACCATGTCTGACATTCTCCAATTATCTATCCACCTCCTCTGAGCAACTGTCAGCTGAAGTTATGAAGTGAAAATGTAAATGACATCCCTTCGGCTGTGTAGAAGCCATAGAACAAAACAAATTAAATGAATTAGCCGCACATCCACTCTTTGGTGTGTTTTTAAGATGTCTGCAGCCACTGTGTGTTGTCTTCTTGTTTGACAGACTTCTCTGTTCTGCACCATGCAACAGGAAAAAGTCACTTCAGCCACTGGGGGGCAGTAGACTCATGTATGCAGCTTCTGGCTTTTCAGTCCATCAATTACTGTGTGAGTCTGCACATTGTTTCATGTGTTAAAAAAAGAAAAAAAGTTATACAAAAAAGTATTCAAAACAAATGGTCTACCAGCAGATGGCTACTGGACTATGAGGAAGTGAAAATACTGCTCAATGCAACAAAAACAAAACAAGTTTAAAATCGACAGAGAAAAATTCTTTAGTTGCATAATAAAATAGTGTGGTTGTACATCATGATTTTAGTCTGAAATGATAAATGATTACAGTGTTTTACAAAAGAACAAACGACTAATAGACATCTGAGATCTGCAAAAAAGAAACACTTAATTCAAACCTATACAATAATTTAAAAAACAATGTTGTCATTGTATGGCACACACATGGTTCATACAGTCTGATTCAGTTTGAACCCGTTACACTGCTGTGCTCCATCAAAACACTTTTAACATTTCTACTTTTCTAATGATACAGTCTGGATTTGAGTTTTTCAGAGATATTGTTAGAGTAAAGTATATGAATATATATTGACCAAACACAACACACAAGACCACTGTGCACTGATGGAAATATTTATTTCTCTCCACACTGTAAAATCAGTCAATACAGGCACGTAAAATCAGAACAGATCATATCATTAATAGAATATAGTACATAAACTGTGTAAAGCACTGTGCCACATCACAGGTTCACAGGTTACCTCTTGCAAGACAGTGAGTGAAGAATCGTCTTGAATGGAAAATCTTGCACAGACCCTGCATCACTTTGATTGCAGGCTTCCTCAAAGGCCTGAATGAGGCGTATCCTGCCACTGGAGATCGACTATACAGTTGGATTAAGGAAGAAAAGGATGGTGGAAGGTATTAGAGTGAAAATGAATGCTGATGATGAAACCAGTTTCGGACCAGAGCAGATCAGTGGAAAAGTGTGTTTCATAAATTGGTTCAGAGGTGTGGTGTTTGGAAAGGCAGAGCCTTGAGATGGTAAAGAAGTGACATAATGTGAAATCATGTTAGATTTCTGTGTCTAACTGAGAGAAGTGTTTGTGCTTTGCAAAAAGTGTGAGGTTTTGCTTCTCGAATGTCAGGTTTCACTAACTGTGTTATTTTTAAGCAAATTTCATTAGGAGAGGCTTACTCATTGTCAAGCTGTTGATATAATAATTGTGAAGACAAAACCATAAAGGTTTTTGTGTGGTATTACAGTAATTAAAAGAAACAAATCGATTCTTAAACATTGCAGCAGATAATGGCTGACTGACTGTGAAAAGTCAATTTCCCTCTGACCTACTGCTGCAGGTTCAAACAAACACACACACAC